CTCGATTCGTTCCTCCATTTCCTGAAGTTGAGTGGTGACAGGCGGGGACAGGTTGACCGGGACAGCACGGACTGACTGGGACCAGGGATCCTTAAGTAGCCAGGGGTCCACATTGCTTGAGGCGCTGCAGAGCTCAAGTGTGCTTTGGGAACCAATCACTGTAGAAGACTGAGCCAGGCTGGACGACGCAGACTCACACCGAGACACCATGACCTGACCATGCTGCATGTTCCAGACTGATTCTGGAGGCTCCGACACCGATTGGACAAGCCACATGACACCACCGTCAACTGTTCTGGCTGGCTGCAAAGGACGTGCCTGCCAGTTCCAAGAGGCAAAAATTTTTCCCAGCATCTTCCGGTCACTACCAAAAGGCCAGGGGCCACAGTGCCATGTCAAACGCTGTCCAGGGGCCAAAAATTGGCCTTCCGGTTTGATCTTCAGGAAAACATCTTGGTAGTGTTTGGCCAAGACACGAACTCCAAACCTACGACCAGACCTGGCTACACCAATGCTAAGTGCTTCACATTGGGCATGATGTTGGACTTCGGCACCTGATGCTTGTGGAATCCAAACAACCTGAAACTCGTCTGATGGCATGGAGGCGTCCATGCTACGGGGTTCCAGGAAAACACCCTGGAGTCCACTATGCTTCAACAACATCAGTTCTTGGGACTTCAGAAAACGCACCTGCACACTGAAGTGGGTACTTTGGGCTGCTTTGACAGGCCTACCTGAGTCTGTGAAAAACTGCCGACGGAACACATCAAGGAGGACTTCACGGGGGCCATCTGCAGTGGTCGGGTGCCACTTGTCACAGTCACAGTTTTCATTACGGCAGGTCTGGAGTGGCGGGAGAGTTTCCAACAAGCTCCTGACAGGGTGTTCACAAAAACTTTCCCAATCATGTGGCCATTGATCTTTGAAGACCGTGATTCTCGCACATGCAACTGGGACGGACGGGACACTGGGACCTGACAACGTTCTGTTGGGGGCGATGACCTGTTGGCCGAGCTGAACCAAGAACCCTTGCAACAACACTGGCTGTTGGTTGGCTGCACATTTGGCTGCGAACCTGATCGTAGACCATGTCAAGTCAGTAGTGATCTCATCAGGCCCATTGATGACCAACAACGCTAGGCCCTTCGGTGTGAGGACTTTGTTGTCCTGCAAGAAAGGCACCGCATCGACGTAGTTGACCAGACTGATACCTGAGACCAACGGACCGACTTGTGAAAGTGGGATCTGGGCAACACCAATTCCATCATCAGTACAAAAGGACTGGTCGGCAAGAACAAGACGACAAGGATCAACTTCGGTTGGTCGAGTTGGAGCTGGTTTGGTCGCTTCTTTCTGCTTCCTCTGGGGTCCTTTCTCTTTCTTAGCCTGTGTGACAGCGGCAAGTTCATCAGGCAACACAAGTTGGACCATTGGCTTATGCTGGTTGGCAAGTTGTTTCAAAGACTTCCATGGCGACACTCCATTGACGGCTCCTTGCACAGGGTCACGACCAAGGCTTTGGAGGACAAGTTTGGCACGCTGACTGGAGACGGCAGTCGGGACACCATGGAACTGCAACAAGGTAGCCAATACGGTTTGAAGATCACCTGAGCCAGAACCCCAACACCAAGGTCTGGGTGTCTGCAGTTCGACTGTCAAAGCATTTCTGAAGGCAAGCCGAAATTGTTGATCCAAATTGGCAAGGGCAGATTCGGTGCAAGGCAAAACCGATGATTCAAGAGAGGCACGGATGAAAGTCACAACACCAGCACCACACAAGTCCAAACCGAAAGGACGCCGGGTACAAGCAACACGGAAAGTCGACAGACCCAAGGCTTGGCAAAGCAATCCATGAAGTCCATTGAAGGGATCCATCGAGACATTGTCATGTTCCCAACTCACGACATCAAGTGTGGTGTTCCGACAAGTCCAAACGAAGGGAGTCCAGTGACCTTCCAATAGGACAGCTGACACAAACCTGGTTGTTTTCTGGTTGTCATGCATCCATGAGTGCAACAAATCCACATTGCCAAGTTGAGTCCAACTAGTCACCAACAAGGGGTCAATGAGTGTCACGTCTTGAAAGTGTGGCTGCGCCGTCACTTGTGTAAGGTGCCACAGGAGTTCATCATCTCCCCACAAGGTGTGTTGATGGTCAAGGAGGGCAATCCTAGCTTCAACAGACATGCTTTGTTTCCGCATGGCACGGCACAAACTGGTATCCCCAACAAGCGGTGGCAAAAGGGCTCGCAGTTGCTTGGCAGAGAGCTGAAGCAGGGAAACCGCAGAAGAATCCAAACCAGGACAAACCGACCCAACACTGGAGGTATATTCAACATGCCCTTCAACAGGTTCAAGGGGGTCCAATTGAGTAGGCATTGTTGTTGCAACTTTGGCATCAACTTCCATGTCTGTCAGGCTTGGCCCCTCGATCATAGGGCTTTGGACTGGGGCTGGTGGGACATCGGTGAAAACCACAACGACTGACTTGTATGTGCCTAGGCAAGTTCCCTGGTCAAGTGGCTTCATGGACCCAAACTCACAGACAGCCAAATCAAAAACCGGCACATGCAAAAGATCTGCCTCAGCGAAGATCAGGTCCTTCACTGTGGCCTCCCTGCGACACTGCAAAGGAAAGGAGTGTCCACGTTGATCATGTACCTCAAGGCGGTGCAAATCCAAATCTGAGGGCAGGTCCAAAGGCTTGGGGATATCTCCAAAGAATTGTTTACTCTGGGCATGGACAATGAGTTTCAATTCATGCAAAGCTTGATTGGGATCCAAAGGGGCATCCGTAGTGAAAAGCAACTGCATGTGTTTCACAATGGAAGCTCCTATCCAAACTGATTGCATGGGCGCGGCCATCTGACCTATGGCACACAAATTCAGCCTCTCATTGTCACTCCAATCCAGGCATGGAGGAACCCCTGATAGGATTGCCACTTCGATTGCATGCAGGTGTCTGTACATAACAGTACCATCCGGCAGGGTGACTTGCAGGAGCTGGGCATAAATGCCTTTCGAGACCAACAAAGCATCAGAGAAGCCTTGATCACGGCAGCCGCAAGCACAAGCAACTACCTGCCCTCCCCACGAATGCAGTGCAGTTGGCAACTTCTGGTCTGCTTTCACAACAAACTGTCTCAAGTGCTGTCCATGTGCTTGGAACTTTTCACATTCAGTCTGGGACAAACGCAGCTGGCTTTCGACTTCTTCAGGCCATCTCTTGACGAAAGGCATCAAGTCACGGACAGTCAAAGGTGATGCTTCAGGGAAAGGAGGAATCAGGACACGGCCCAAGGCAGGATGAGCAGCAATCAACCACCAGCGATATCTGCAACCACACCAAACCGATTCCAAACGCAGGCAACACTGACTGACATGGAAACCAAGTTGAGTCTCAAGAGCTTTAACATGGGCCATGACAAAACAGTTGTTGGACGCAGGGACCACACATTCCAGCACAAGAAGGGGGGCACGAAGCCAATGCAAAAGCTGCAGAGTGGCTGGGAGAGTAGATGACCTGGCATCATGTTCTCCTTTCTCAAGTCCACCTCGACTATAAGGCTGGCATGAAAACCCAGACATCAACATGAAGGGGTCAGGACAAACATCATGGATTTTCTTGGCGGTATCTCTGGCACAAATGTCAGCATGAAGGACAGGCACAGTAGGGTGGATGCGACGGTGGAGGTCAACCAAAGAAGACTGCCACTCAACTGAGCACTTGTGACGAAATCCAACATGACAAAACCCAAAGGACGACGTACTCATGCCAGAACAAAGTTCAACATAGTTGAGAACATCGTCTCGGAGGATAGGACGATGCGGCAAGACACAAGTCCCAGAATCCACAGACAATTCGACCAGACCACTGAACCTCTCAAACTTGGCTTGCAAAAAGGTCAAACAGGGAAAACCAGCAGTTTCGGTAGGTAAAGTACCATTGATCCTGATCACCTTATTGTGGGGTACAGTCCTACCCATCAAAGCATTGGTATCCCAAATGACATCAGAAACCACCACGGATACAGTAGCACCCCTTTCCAGTGTGGCCCATGTAGGCTCAAACAGATCCTCCAAAGCAACGGCAGGAGGTTGTCCCATGTTTACAAAACACCCAAATTTAGCGAGCGCAGCCTCACCAAAGGGCTGGCAGGTGATTTGGGCCAGAGGCTGTTCCAAACCACCAACCAGTATAATAGTTGAACTTAGAATAAACGAATCAACAACCTTGATCAGTGAAGCTTAGAATTGTTCACGGAGCACTGTTGATCAGTTCAACCTTGGATGTTGTTGATTACTTAGAATAGTTTAACTAATCCACAACGGATCTTTGGGGGATGAAGCATTTGAAATACCGTGGTTACCATTGGTTATTATAAGGGGTTAGACTATCCAATCGATTGATTGTGACAAGCCATCATAATTTGGGGGATACCATTTAATGACCTGACCCATAAAAAGCTCTTGCAGCCTTGATTTCATCAAAAAGCCATGCCCAGGGCGGTTCGAAAAACATTCAGCTGGTTGGTGGTTGAGCCCTACCCCTCTGAAAAATGATGGAGTTCGTCAGTTGGGATTATGAACTTCCCAATATATGGAAAAATAAAAGCCATGTTCCAGTCACCACAAACGAGTTCAGGAATTTTGTTGGAGTCACGGCAAAGTTTTCATGACAGCAAATCAGAGGGATTTCCTTCGTGGAGAATATTTCCGCAAGTTTCTGAGTCGAATTTCTGTCAATGCCAGTGATTTCGTCTGGATATCTTCCTCCGTTTCTTGGCTTGTTCCCAGCTCCCCTAACGTCTAGCAGGTCACCGTACCATTACCCGGTAATCAAACGGGGCGGAACATCACACATGTATACACATGATTCCACATGTCTAGATGTTGATTGATTTCCCCAGCAAACCTCCATTTAGTTCGGGGATGTCCAATGATTTTCCGATGATTTTCCCAACAAAAAGCCGCTTAAAGTCTCAGCTGGGACTCCCGTCCTGGGCCACAAAGCGATGTCTAGAGCGCGAGCGCTCGTCGTCCTGCCTGACAGGCGAAAATCTGATTGATACCATCTGGTTATGACTAACAGTTTGCCATGGAAAGATCCACCATTTTTAATAGGTAAACCATCTATTTCTATGGGCCATCTATCCCATGGCAAACTGTTAAATAACCAGATGGTAAATCGAAGTGTACGACTATCCCGGGACTATCCATAGCACATCTGATACTTGATGATATTTGCACCAGTTGTCACCTTGGTAGATGCCTGGCTTGCTAGCCATTTGTGTACTCAACTCTCAGAGGCCAAATGATGTTGGAATGCTCTTACTACTCTCCACAAATGGCCAACCCCTGGATTTGGATTCCCTTTAGGGGGGCCCCACAAAAGAAAAACATCGAAAAACTGTAGATGCCCCAATTACCAAAGAGTTTCCATTGGGAAAAAGACCAGAAATCACCTTGGGCCCAGGCTCGTAACTCCAGCAGTAAACCAACAGCTGACCTCCAACTCTGAGCAGGCGCCTGCACACGACGTGCACGCGCGGAATGGAGTGGTTGAAGGGATTTGGGGTTTTCCATCAATGGGGGTAACCCAAAATGGATGGTTTTTTTAATGGAAAATGGGTATCCCTATTTCAGGAAACCCCCATTTTGTTTCACAGGAAACCAATGTTGGTTGAATGTTGGTTGAATGTTGGTTGAATGTTGGTTGAAGGAGTGGTTTTGATCAATTTCAAGGCTTTTTTCCGGAAGATTTTCCCGGTTGATATCTTTTCTGGGCCAGACAGAAGCTGATATGTTTGTAGACCAGAAGCTGCATCACAGCGTCACTGGGGTCATTGACCTGGGGTGCCTGCCAGTTTTTAGCTAAAAAGAAATGATCCTCCAAGAAAAACAGGAAATTTCTTTTTAAAGAAGGGACAACCACCGGAAAAAATATTCCAACTGTTCAATTCACATGTGTCAAATTTGCTGATTTAACCCATTTGGTGGATCCAATGGTAGTTGCACCCCGCTTTTTGATTCGGAAATTATCAGTTAAATATCCAGATAAAGTTCTAAACGGCAGAGCGCTTTCGGACAAGGAAGCTTCGAAGCAGAAGTCCCCGCATGTCAAGTTTAGATATATGCACATAAAGACGTCCCTCAATTAAACATGTTCTGCATTGTATGTCCCACTATATCCCATCGTAAGTTCCAGTCCCATTTTATTTTAAAAAATGACGAGTCACATGATATCCACATGATATCCACATGACATCCTCAATATGGTTCCTAAGAATCTCAGAAAATGCCCACCATGTCCCATTCATATGATCCCCACAATGTTTGTTTCTCATATCCCCATGTCTTCCCATGAACATCGACGAAAATTCCATGGTAATCATGGCAAACGCCCATATCATGGATATCATGGATGATGTTCATTGATTTTCCTCATTACTTGATTCTTCTCCCATCATATCACCCCAAAGTGCCACTATATCCCATGATTTTCCCCTGAGTTTGCCATTCCTCAAAGTCCCTTAAAAAAAAAAAAAAAACAGCGCCCTGGGTTTTCCGCACGCGGCTTCTCGCAGAGCCTCCAGGGTCCCCAGGGTCCCCAGGGGGTCCCGAACCAAGCGAATTTCATGGATGAAGCTGCCAATATATGGGGAATTACTGGGATTTTATGGGATCTAAGGGGACTCCTGTTGACCACGATGACTTTCAATGGATTGATTTCAAGGCAATCTCACTAGGAAATGAGCTGTTCACCGACAAATATCGTCTGTTTTCTCTGGATGTTCCCCTTGTGTAAACCAACTCTAGGATGGTTTTCATAAGTTTCTTCAAACAACATGAAAGTTTTCACGCCTTTGATCCGGGAACGGAAAAAACCACCAAATTTTCATCAGTTCATCCTTACCTAAAAACAGTTTCTTTTCTGATTATCATATACCCTCTGGTTATTTAACATAGCCATGGAAAATGGCCCATAGAAATAGATGGTTTACCGTTCTTAAAAATGGTGATGTTCCATGGCTATGTTAGTCATAACCAGATGGTATATACACACATATTTGGGAACACCAACCAGCCCACATAAACCCCAAGCGGTCCCAAAACCCAGCCACGATGCCACTTTATGATAGCTGCAAGGACCAACATGTGGCCAACTTCAAACAATCATAGGGAGGATGCATACATATTGCATTCATATTTATATTTATATTCATATTTATATATTCAATTTATATTTATATTATATCATATCATATTATATTATATCATATCATATCATATTATATTACATATTATATATATATATTAAAAATACATATATATATATACTTATGTATACATTAAATACAAAATAATATATATATAATCATATCAACAATTTTGAAACCCTGGGGTCTGGGATCATTATCCCATGTTTGGGGAAAATAGAAAACATCTGAAACCACCAAACTTGAGGATCATTTTTTTTAATACAAATCACCTCGATACCCAAATGCGTCCCAAAAACGAATGGCCAGAAAACATAGGACGCCGGCAAACGTCGTCACTAGTCATACCCCTTGTTTCGAAGTGTCTTAGACTGTATGGCCATGGCTCAAAATGTGTAGCCCTAAAAAAATCGGAGAGTTACCAGCACAACTTGCATTTATTTTTGCCCATCAATGTCCCAATATTACAATCCACGTTAATTTTTGACGATCAAACCCCGTTGTCATTCGATATTATATATACCATCTGGTTATTTAACAAAGCCATGGAAAATCACCATGTTTAATAGGTAAACCATCTATTTCTATGGGCCATCTATACCATGGCTATGTTAAATAACCAGAGGGTACGGTATATATATATATATACATATCCCGTCGTATTCCCATAAATCTCCCATCATCGTGAGCCTGTATTCGACGCGCAGGGGTCGAGAGGTGGTGTAGCACCTGCTGAGCGACAATCATGAGAAAAGGCGACAAAAGAACACGATGATACCCTCTGGTAAACTTTCACATAACTATGGAAAGATCCACCATTTTCAATGGGTAAATCCAGTATAAATGACCATGTTCAATAGCTATGTTAAATTACCAGAGGGTAAAAATGATTCTCATGGCCCTTTATAACAAAAAAAAGAGATATATGATTAAAAATTATTGTAGCCTGTTTTGGAAAATATGATGCAACTGATGATTGTTATAGAATTTCCCAAAGATGAAATATCTGCGTTGATGATTCATAAGTTTTTATCATCATCTATGGTGAGCTTGGCGTTCTAATTTAATCGGAAACCACGGCCCCCAAGTCAGCCACGTCAACCATCCCCATGTTTTTTGAGATTTTATAGCTATAACGGCTATAATGATCAGCAATCATATCCCACGATATGTCCCAAAAGTATTATTGGTTAAACTTCCCAAGAAGAAACACTAGATTCTCATTGTATCACCTTATGAAGAACCCTTATCCCATCATATTCCCATTATGTATCCCATGCTGCTCAGGACATTCCCTCTACATCCGTCTACATCCCAGTATACATCTCCATCTTCTCTTTGTTCGATGCCCCACATTGGTTAGTCCAAAAAATGGTACACTCCAAATGGTAACTTTGATAAGGATAAAACGTGGTAAACATTGATAAACCATCAAACTTGGAAAAAAAGCACATCTCTTCCACCCAATGCAACTGTCCCCCACGGTCTCGCACCGCAATGGACAGCACCGCGTCGAAGATACCGGCGCGCAGCGGGGTGGTCAGACAATCTGCCACCTACCGTGCTTTTGTGGTTACCCCAGAAGATGGAATATGGGGTCACTAGACTATATTGGTGGCCATATCATATACTCACTTGTTAATTGGATGAAAACTATAATTTAAGCTGTTTGATTCAAATAGAATTCGAACTTCTGGAACATGGCAGCTAAGCTATGCTTTCCAACCTTCAAATATGATTCAAAAATGATCATGGTATTAAATAGGAAAAGGTAGATTGCCTTTCCAATTAGCAGGACACTCTGTGTCGGAAGTTCAAACAATGCAAACGACCACCATGTCAATCTTTGGATATGATTGCCTCCATGTCCATGTCTTGTTTAATGTTCCCAGGCTTTTCAGATGCTAAAAACAGGTTTTTGCTTGCCTTATCTGATCCGAATTTCCTACAAACATCCCAGCTTTCATTGCTTGTTCTTCATCCCAAATTCTTCAAGGAATCTTCCAAACCCCAACTCATGATGTTAGTGATGCTGGTTGGAGGGAGGTTATAAATCCCTTTCTACCCCACTAATATGGTAACCCCTAGATTACAACCCCCGCACCTTTTACCATTTTGGGCGATCAAAAAACCCTATCAAAGCTTACATCCTTGATTAGTTTTAGTACACCCCATAATTTCCATAATGAACCATCCACAATTCCGGTAGTAAAATTAAGCATGTGTATATATATATATATACATGTGTGTTTTTTATGGTATGTTTTTATGTTGGGATTATATCACCATATATGTGGTTTAATAAACCCGCAGCATCATTCCGGTAGCGTTTATGTTGGGATATATATAATACTTGACATAATAATTATTCTTATTATTGTCACTATCATTATTATTACTATTACTGTCATTATTATTATTATTGTTATTATTATTGCTATATTATATACATGTATATATATAATTATATATATATGGTTAAATTACAATAATTCACCAACCTGAATTAAAGCCATTTGGGGATGATTTCCCTTATTAACCATGATTCCAGTGAGGTCGCAGTGAGGTCGTCATAAATATTCATTATGGTATGAAATGAGCCGCGTGGATGCCAAGGAGCCATGCAGCTGGCCCCATGCTCCTGCCGAAATTTTTTTGGGGGCTGAAATTTTGTGAAGAAAAATGGGGGATACTGATGAAACTCCAAAAAAATGGAGAAAAATGGGGCTGTTTATGGGATTCCAAAAAAAAGGAAAGTGGCTGAGTGCATCCTTTTTTAGGGGAATTGAAAGATGAATAGATATTCCTAGGGATTCAACTAGACCCCCTTTCAAGGTGACCATTGCGACCCTTGCCGCTAGTTCTTGGTTACTGTTAACCCAAAACAAGTCACATTGGGGGCTGGTTGAATCCCTATGCTGCATGCTACAGTTACATTAACAAGCAGCAATTGACACTACCACATTTGGGAATGGTGCAGTTACCACCGATTCGATCGTACCAGGGCTAGTCTATTCCCACATGAACAAAAAAGACGTGAAAATTAGAGCGAAAGAAAACGATGAGATGGCAAAATTGTAACATCACATCACTCATGTGGTACCCTCTGGTAAACTAATATAGCTATGGAAAATCACCATTTTTAATGGGTAAATCCACTATAAATAGCCATTTTCAATAGCTATGTTAGTTTACCAGAGGGTAATAAACCATTCCCAAGTCATCACCATTTTTCATATGTTTACCATCCCCACATGGTCGTTGGATTGGCATTGGATTGCCCACATGATTACCATCATTACCCATATATTAACCATATCATTAACCAGATATTGCCCATAGATTAGCCGTAGATTCACCAGCTGTATATCTCATTAACAGCTAGCCTTGGGTAAACATCCAAAAAGATGGTGCTTTCCACCCCATGGCTGTTGTGCTCCTCTGCGGCAATCCGCGCCAAGGGTGCGCTGATGTCCTGGGCGATTTATCGGATGAGGGATTAGCAAAAGGGTATCTGGTTGGTGGTTGGGCCCTACCCCTCTGAAAAATATGAGTTCGTCAGTTGGGATTATGAACTTCCCAATATATGGAGAAATAAAAGCCATGTTCCAAACCACCAACCGGGTATATATCATCTAACCCAATTGGTCAATTAATCATCTAATTTCAAAAGGGTATTCTCACCATTTGCCCACTCAGCCCAATATTCGAAATTAAGGTGAATACCCTCTGGTAAATTGACTGCTATGAAAGCCCTGGCCCATTTAGTTCGACCATCGACCTATTGAAACTGGAAGTGTTCGTAGTCAACTGTATAGATGATCTGCCCATGGTAAATATATAAACAAATCTCACGGGAACAATCCATAGATATGTACAGATCTGGGTAAATTCCAATATGTCCCTTTTTTTTCAAGGTCCGCCGTACCTCTGAACTAATATTTCCCAAATAATGTTATATATATATGGAACATTATATGGAAAACATTATAATATTTATATATATATATATCATGTCTATGTATGTATATATATACCAAATAATTTTCCATAATATTAGAACTTAGATAGAACATATCTATATAATCTCACCATCTAATAATTCTATAGCTCGCTGAGTTTCCAGGCCGATGCCACGGCAAAGCCACAGGCTTCCTTCACATGGGGCCTAGGAAGTCACCATGGAGTCGCTGATGTGGCAACACCGGTTTTCATGAGATGGAATGGGAAATATATATATAGAAAAACATACAAAATACTGATGTTCTGATATAGGATAAGATGGTTTAAAAATGTAAAATCTGGTAAAATATTGTGAAATGTGGTAAAATATTGTAAAATATTGTAAAATATTGTAAAAAATCGGGGGAAATCTCATAGGATAAAAGTCATGGGAAAATGCTCGAGGTATATATATATAATTATAATTATAATGGGGATAGAATGGGATTAGCCAGCAATCTACCAAGTTTATGAGGGATTTGATCAACAAACATGGCTTCATCATTTAAACCAACCCAAATGACATGGTTTCGTCAACAAAAACAATGGCAGGTCACAGGAAAATTTGAGGTATGGGTCCAGTCGCTGGGCTACGGTTTTGTCAAGCAGTTTGTTCAATGGAGGTCCCAAGCTACACCAGTTTGGATAATATGGTCAAGTCAAGCCCAATGACTCTTGGACACTGCGGATTCCATTCGGTCTTTCGGAGGCTCGGGCTGTGAAAATCGGAGGTTTGTCCCTCAACTATGGCAAGTGTCATGTGAAAATGCTGGGTGACCACCAAACTTGGACGGGTTTCCCATCATTTCAGAGCAACCCACAGGCGCACCAAGGCGCCCCGCAGGTTCTTGCCATTGCCTCAGCGAAAAAAACGGTCCTAGATATGGGTCCCAAAAGTGAGGCATTGATGCCAACAAAATACCATTGAGGCTCAGAACTACCATGGTTTCCGTGGCAAATCGATCCTTTTTTCACATCATACTGTACATGTTGCTTCATTGAATCCGCCAAAAATCCCTATGCTTTGTCATTTTTTTTGAAGATTTGGGTGCCTATCTCATCACGAAAAATCTTGTTGCCTATCCCCGCGGTATCCCCGGTAAATCTCCACAGGACCAAACACAAAAAGGGGCCGTGTAGAAGGTGGATCCAAGGAGATCTTCCCGAGATGTCCAGTGACATCTTCGTAAAAATCGATGTCGAAGCTTAATGATATTCGAAAAACAGATTGTGACATAGTATAACGCTACCTCTATATATATAACATATCATAACACTACCTTTAACAGTTATCCTACCATGGTTCAATGTTTTGTTCAGTCTTTTCCTGGAAAACTACCAGAGCTACGCTGCTAACATCAGCAGAAATGACCTCTACCATCAGGACGACATCACCTTTGGGTGAAAAATCCCTAAAGCCGAAAATCAGTTATTGATCCGAAAACTCTTCCATCATGAATTACATATATTACATATATATATATAACATATATATTATAATATATATATATAATGTATGTTTGTTGCCCCCAAAAAAACTGCCCAAAAAAAAACCTATTCTGAAAAAAGACTTGATTTATATACCTAGTATCACCAAATTACAAAGAAATTGTCATTGCCAATAATCATGTAACATGTTGGTAAATTACACATACTCAAATAGTGATTTGTTACTGTTCTAATGAATTTTGGTAATATCAGGATTGCAAAATCCAGTGAATATGTATATATTATATATATATATATATGTATTTGCTGAAAATCGAGGTTAGCTACTAGGAGTCAAGATACTATACACATCGACCCCAAATATAAATATACACCCCATATAATCAATTGCATTCAAAAGTATAAAATCGAACATGTCGATTTAACCAAAAATAGATTCAAAAATCAATTGATTGGTATTTTGATATGTAAACATATGTGGATTTCTAGGAATTATTGTACAAAAAACTGTGGTCCACCGAAGAAAATTCCACCATCCCCGATCCCCCATTAAGAGGTGATAAATTGGCTATAGCCCTGATGTAAAATCACCCCCGAAAGGTTGATTTATGGCTGGTTTACTATTGGATATACCATGAATAATGATGAATATAAATGATCATGTCATAAATAAAATATTGATCAAACCATATCAAACTTATTTTGGTGATTGATGATAATTAGACTGATTGGATGTAATTAAGATCAATATACATGGTGTAAAATCACCAAAATGATAATGATCATAGTAAATTATCAGATTCATTGGATGATCATTGTTCACATAATATGCCATCACGCCATCATCCCATCATGCCATCATGCCAATGATCCCAAATAAATCTGGCACATAGCTTACGGGATGATCATGAATTCATGGGATGGTCATCAATGATGATCAAATTTCTTATACGCTATAACTGGATTATAATAATTTCCAAACAATTCTGATTTACCATGGTGTTATTTTTTTATAACTTACTTGGGTTCAGAACACGAAAGGGAAAAAATTAGGTGTTATAAAATAAGAACACCATTTATAATCAATTAATCGATGTATCATCAATCATCATGGTTAGAACACCATTTGTTTAACATTATCAATAATTCAACAATTATGATTAGAACACCATGTGTTTAAACCATTGTCAATAATTATAATTAAACATTAGAACAATATTTGTTTAACCCATTATCAATAATTCAATGGTTATGATTAGAACACTATTTGTTTAAGCCATTGTCAATAATTGTGATTAGAACATGAGAACACTATTTGTTCAACCATTCATTTTTTAAGACATATCCCAATATTATCCCAAGAATGGTTATAATGTTCTGAACAAATCCCAATAAACCGTTATAATATGATCCCAATAATCATAACAATTGACATATCCCAAAATGATCCCAAATTATCAAATATAATGGTTACTTATTATAAACCAAAATTATAATCAATAGTTTGATCATATGTATCAATTAAAAACCAAAAAATGGTTATCCCATCATAAAATTAACATGTTCCAAAATTGATCCCCAAATTGATCCCAATGACATAATTCACATATCCCAAAAATAATGGTTCTCCCAATAATTACTGGTTGGTGGTTTCAATATATGGAAAAATAAAAAAATGTTCCAAACCACCAACCAGATTATAACAATTCTTCTTCCGAACGCGTCAAAACGGCCCTGGCGGCCAAGGCACCACAACCCAGGTCCGCCACCAGCGAATGCTTTGGCAGGCTGCGCACGAAGGCCTGCCCCGGAAAAAACACGGGAAAACCAGGGGAAAACCGAGGAAAACACGAAAAACAGCTAAAAGGAGGGATTAGTTCACTCAAAACCAATTGAAAAGATGAAACTAGTCAAACATGCTCCAGGTTGTTGCTTTTTCTGGATACCGGTCATGGTTGACATTCGCTTTCAAGTTCGATCCGACCATCGAAAAAAAAAGAAAGATGAAAAAGACATGAACCTATAAGTCTTACGTCTTTGCTACACATCATTCGAAAATACAATGTGGCAAACCAAAGAATGAACCACCCGCAACATTGCCATATATTGCCATAAATCAACGGCATAAACCATCCAAAATTAGAGCTTCGTGGCAGGTTTACCACCTTAGACCCTGAGAAGTTGCCTCATGGCAGGATGGTCACGTTGACCCTCCAAGCCTCTACCCTTGGCCATGCTTTGTATCGCCTGCCAAAACAGCAGGGGAATATCGCCCTGAGTGGATCGTACTATCTTACGACCAACAATGGAGAGGCCATACGAAGAAGGGCTACATGGAGACATCAAATCTCCCAAACGCAGTAGCTCAATGGTTGCACCCCGAAAGGTCCATCGATGTTTGAATTCTTCCAAGTCTCATCCCAAGCTGATTCAAAAGCCACCAATGGTTTCTGTACCATTGGGCTGTGTTTAAAATTAGGTTTTAAAAAAACTAGTTTTTGCCATGTAAAATTACCCAAAGTCGGTGATCTTGCTGCGGAATGGTGTTTCATTGTAGGTTTTACCACGTGAATGTCAAGTCAGCCATTGAGGTCAGGGACGTGTGATTCCAGTGGCTTGCGATGGTGTCGTAAACCTTGTGGACATTCTCAGCCTGCAACCCGACAGGGATCAATAAATAGGAGATACCCAAGGGCAAACATGGAAAAAAGAAGAGGAAACCTGGTTGGTTCCCTTAAAATGATCTACAAATGCTGGGTTTTTCACATCTATGTTGGTTTACAGGAGGATAAGTAACACAAATCAGCACAACATCAAACGCATATGCGACTAAACATCAACTCAACATCATGGTTTCTAGCCAAGCTAGCTAGGAAAGTGGCTGGGGCCCAGTTTCAGGCAGGATTTTTTCGATCAGCCATCCAAAGACATATCGCAGCAAAATTTTCCGAGAAAAATGGGAGACCCCAAAATTCACCAATTAATTGGTCTATTTCAATACGGAAACCCAATCATTTCTTGGGGAGTTCCAGGGTGTGGTGGGGCTATAATATTTACCTATACATATATTCATATAGATATAGATATATATATGGGGATGGGTCAAAACCCTGGTCCCTAGTGAACCCCAAAATAGCTGGTAAATGGATGTTCATCCCACTAAAAATGTATCTATAGGTATTGACCCATACCCATATATATCTCTCTCTCTCTGTGTGTCTGTGTGTGTGTTGGTGGGTGTGCGTGTTTATTGTTTCACAGTTTCACCATTTCCAGGCGTCGTGCTTTTCTCTTTGCACGACAAAACAAGAAAAAACTGAAAACTAGAGTTATGGTTTTTGACACCAATATATTACTACCCTATGGCAAGTTAACAGTTTGCGGAAAATTGCCCAGCTATAACGAATTACCAGAGGCCTCTATCCATTTGTCACGGGAAATTTCCATGATTTTCCCATGGATTTTCGCACACAAAAATCTCCCTGATAACCACCTCGATGGCCGGGGTCTGAAAGGGATTTTCCACATCCTCCGGCACAACCTGCAGCCACTGTCTGTTCACCGGACCGACCCCAGGTGTAGATGTTTATCATCTAAGGATTTTTCTAAGGTTACTATGAAATGGATATTAGAATAGTCTAATGCTTGTGATTCAATGATGTTTGCTCTAATGATGGATTGTGGGAAATTCAATATGTTCATTAGAATATGGGAAATAATGTCTATTACAACAAGGTTTATAATGAACTGTATACTGTTTTTTCTAACCTTTGTTCTAATGATGTTTATTAGATGGTTACAACAATCCAATAATGTTGGTTATTGTAAGATGTTTATTAGAATAGTTTGGTGTTTATTTTTAAAAATGATGTAGATGGTTCCGTATTCTAAGGTTAAAATAATCCGGAGGTAGGTGATATATGTGTTTGTAAGAATTCTGGGGTATATGATATTCTTTATATACACATAATTCTTTACCATATTAAGTCAATTCAATTCTTTGCTTATCGTGGGAGTATGGCAAAATCAAAGATATTCCCATGTGGGCGATTACTTTTCGGAAAAAATCAATGTTATATGTATATTATATATATATTTCAGGATGAACATATATCCCCATACACAAACATTAGACATTGGTTTGTCTGAAAACAGAATGCCTATCTATTAACATGGCAATTTTGATGGTAAGGAAGAGGACAATGTCATCCCTCTGCGTCCCTTTTGTGCATTCCCCGTTTTGTAAACGCAGCATTTAGAAGTCATCCCTTAGTCGTCCCTTTGATGTTCCGCCCAATGTGAACGCCACACCTCTTGAGTGTTTTCTGCAACCAAATTTAGGCAATATGCCGGGATAATGTTGCATTTAGGTTGCGTTGTGATTGTCCAAAGTATTTCCACATCAGGAAATTTGAGATGCAGTTCGCAATGGAAACGCAGGAATTTCCCAACAGCGATTCTGTTGGGTTTCAATCTCTTGGGCCGGGAGTGGTGTCATTTGCCTGTATCCACTTTTCAGACACGCCAAACATATCATATGTTCTTGGGTATGTCATACGGTGTGTGTATATATATATATATGTATATCATGACAATGTCTACATATATATATATATAGATATCCCCATATAGTATAATCGCAATATACACATCTGGCTGAAATCCTTTAATTCACCACCTGAAAAAGTTTGGCCATTTTGGGATAGTTGCCCCAATTCAATTCCCATCATTCCAGTACATCACAGTGAGGTCGTTATAATTCATCCATCTAGATAGATAGATAGATAGTTAGATAGATAGGTAGGTAGGTAGATAGATAGGTAGATAGATAGATAAATAGATAGATCGATAGATAGATAGATGGATGGATAGATAGATAGGTCGATAGATAGATCAATAGGTAGAGATACATTTTAATACCTGGACCCCAAATGACCTCGGTTTTTGGATGCTTAACCCTTCCGTTCATGGCTCAAAATCGCAGATAGATAGACAAATATACACATATACAACATATATACATACATATATATAGATATATATTATGTATAATATATATATATATATGTGTGTGTTTGTGTGCCCTTGCAACAGCCCTGCCACCCCACCCCTGGTTCAAACCGACCTCCACGGCAGTGGTGCGCTGCATGGGCCCACGGAGCTCCTAGCAACGGAGCTCCTATCATCATTCTTAGGTATGTATGTATGTACGTAGTATGTATTGTATTGTAATTGTATGGTATGGTATTGTATGGTTTGGTATGGTATGGTATGGTATGCCCTCTGGTTATGACTAACATAGCCATGGTATAGATGGTCCATAGAAATAGATGATGTTTGATGATTTACGGTTCTTTCCATAGCATGGTGGATCTTTCCAAAGTGTAACCCCATCCCTTGGGTCCACAGATCCATGGCTACTAGGGATACCCGAAACGCTGTCATGAAACGTGGCTTTTTCATGGGAAAAAACCTGTGAAAAATGGAGCTTTAGAGCTGGGAAAATCCATAAATGGTGGATTTTCCAGCCCATGTTGGATTCATGAAGGGTATATGATGTCTCCAAAGCTTTGAGCACTGGACCCTGACGGAACTCGCCTCTTTTCAGCTAGCGTGGATCTATGTCAGTGGCAGCGCCCACTGGATGGTCAGGGTAATGTGTCACTGGTTGGTGGTATACCTACCCGGGTGGTTTCTACCCCTCTGAAAAATGATGGACTTCGTCAGTTGGGATTATGAACTTCCCAATATTTCTGGAAAGTCATATAGCAGCCATGTTCCAGTCACCACCAACCAGGTCATTTCTTAGGGAAACCAACGGTTTTGACGACCCCCATGTCAAGAAACCCAAGAAAGTTACCCTGCGGCAATCTGACATTACAAGACCGCATCTTTAGTTGGCATCTCACATCTGCGGATGGTGACCCTGTCATGAACACATCCAGTGGTGCGCTATCGTCGCTGCAGAGGGACCTGGGGACCCGTTGCCTTTTTTCGCTGCGTTGGATGATCTTGGACTGAAATCTGCTGCAGAAAGCCTCTTGGATCATTTAAACTTGAACATCGTTCTCAGCTCATGAACTTGGGGATATTCATGATTCAAACTGAAATTGACATCGTGTTTTCAAAAGTCAGCAAAATTGCTGATCCCTCTGCCATCCAGAAACTCTGCAAATCAGGGGTGATGGGGAGTTCCTTGATAGAACTTCCTGGGAGTTGGCAGCTTGGAAAGTGAACCAAACCAGGTCCTGGGTGGAAGCACTTTGAAGGGTTTACAAAAGGGAGTGTATCCCAGTTTGTCGTAATAAGAAAATCAAAACTCACCCAGTTATATAGATTATATAGAAATATATATATATATATCATGGAATGTCCCCAGTTTTACAAAAGCTATATATATATTATATATACATACATAATATATATTATATATATTATATATATATATACATTTTTTATGGGTTATATATATACCCCTTGAAATATCTGGCTCACGCGTGTCCCCGGACCTCCTTTCGGATGCCGCTAAGGCTCCATTTGTTGAAGTCGCCTGAGATTTGGGGGTTTGACCGTTTGACCCATAGCCTCTTCGAGTTTGTCTTGGTGGAAAGCCAGCCATAAAGGCCATAACTTTGAGAAATCCATTGGAAGCCCAGTGAAAACAGATGAAAATGGATGAAAATGGATGTATCCAAAAGTTGCTGAAGTTATCACTGCTGTCAGAATCGAGATACGATTCTAAGCTCGAATGGTACAATGACCACGAACCTGGAGTCAGTGTGACTGCTTGATGAATTCCCAACAAAACGCAGTTGGATCAGATGGTTCATAAGCCCTTACCGGGAACCCGGTATCAGTGGTTGTTGGTGGTTAATACAAACCCTTATAGCTGCGTGTGATCTTGCGGTGTCACCTTAGGCCTTAGGCTTGGTTAAATCACCTTCAGCTACAGGGGAGATGCTTTTTCAGCTACAGGTTCGTTGATTCTTTGGTGGCCCAAAAATAGCCAGAAGCCAGTGAAAAAATGTCCAAACTGAGCAATATCTAGTTCCATGGTGACATGACTGACTAAACTTGTTTCAATGTTTTTACCCCTAAGACAGTAGTTTTCCCTAACCATACCACTACTAGAAGGGAGCTTGAACGGTGCTAAATTTCTTGACCCCAAAATGAAAGCATTTCAATCTACTGTGTTCATATACATCATATGGATTTTACCACCAAGAATAAAGATGCCAAAATGAATAAACAATGGTTGGTTGATGAGTTCAATCGGGAAAATAATGATTAACGATTTTGACGCGCCCCCAAATGTGGCCTATTTGAAGTTTGAACCAGTGTTCACCTAATATTCTCTAGTCATGAAAATATTTAATACAACTGTGAGATACTTCATGACCCATATGACCCATATTCACTAGTGAAATGGCAATATCAAAGACCATTTTCTCAGTGTGCAAAAGCCTCATTCTGTCATCCCTTCAAAAACTGCTTGAACTGCTTGGATTCCCATTCCGATAAAAACTCGTTGGATTCCCATTCCGATTAAAAAAAATCGTATAAATATAAATAAATAAATAAATAAATAAAAATCACAGGCTCCAATATTTCTTCAGGGTCAGTCATCAATCCACCACGCCTTTAGTACCCTCTGGTAATTTAACAGTTTGCTATTGAAAATGGCCATAGAAATCGTGGATTTTCCCATGAAAAATGGTGGATCTTTCCATAGCTATGTTAGTTCACCAGAGGGTAACCTGTCAACGCCACTGCTTTTCCGACACGTCACACTCCGGGGCATCGATCGTTCGCTCGGAGGGATAGGTGTCGTCGAACCTTGGATGGTGTCTTTTTTGACGGAGGGTGAGGAAAAATGTTGGTCCAATGTCACTATTAGGTTTAATGGTGATATATATATATATAGTTAATGGGATTATTAATGGGATATATCTATATATATATATATATAGTTAATGGGATTATTAATGGGATATATCTATATATATAGTTAATGGGATTATTAATGGGATATGTCTATATATATAGTTAATGGGATTATTAATGGGATATATCTATATATATATAGTTAATGGGATTATTAATGGGATATATCTATATATATATAGTTAATGGGATTATAAATCGGATATATCTATATATATAGTTAATGGGATTATTAATGGGATATATCTATATATATAGTTAATGGGATTATTAATGGGATATATCTTTATATATAGTTAATGGGATTATTAATGGGATATATCTATATATATAGTTAATGGGATTATTAATGGGATATATCTATATATATATAGTTAATGGGATTATTAATGGGATATATCTATAGTTAATGGGATTATTAATGGGATATATATATATAGTTAATGGGATCATTAATGGGATATATCTATAGTTAATGGGATTATTAATGGGATATATCTATAGTTAATGGGATTATTAATGGGATATATCTATATATATATATAGTTAATGGGATTATTAATGGGATATATCTATATATATAGTTAATGGGATTATTAATGGGATATATCTATATATATATAGTTAATGGGATTATGACTGGGATATATCTATATATATAGTTAATGGGATTATTAATGGGATATATCTATATATATATATAAGTAATGGGATTATACTGGATATATCTATATATATAGTTAATGGATATTAATGGGATATATCTTATGTATATAGTTAATGGGATATTAATGGGGATATATCTATATATAGATAGTAATGGGATTATTACAATGGGAATATCTATCATCTATAGTTAATGGGATTAGTAATGGGAGATGTCTACAATATATATAGTATGGGTTATTATTAATGGGATATATCTATATATATCTATAGTTAATGGGATTATTAATGGGATATATCTATATATATATATAGTTAATGGGATTATTAATGGGATATATCTATATATATAGTTAATGGGATTATTAATGGGATATATCTATATATATATAGTTAATGGGATTATTAATGGGATATATCTATATATATATAGTTAATGGGATTATTAATGGGATATATCTATATATATATAGTTAATGGGATTATTAATGGGATATGTCTATATATATAGTTAATGGGATTATTAATGGGATATATCTATATATATATATAGTTAATGGGATTATTAATGGGATATATCTATATATATATAGTTAATGGGATTATTAATGGGATATATCTATATATATATAGTTAATGGGATTATTAATGGGATATATCTATATATATATAGTTAATGGGATTATTAATGGGATATCTATATATATATAGTTAATGGGATTATTAATGGGATATATCTATATATATAGTTAATGGGATTATTAATGGGATATATATATATAGTTAATGGGATTATTAATGGGATATATCTATATATATAGTTAATGGGATTATTAATGGGATATATCTATATATATAGTTAATGGGATTATTAATGGGATATATCTATATATATAGTTAATGGGATTATTAATGGGATATATCTATATATATATAGGTCATGGGATTATTAATGGGATATATCTATAGTTAATGGGATTATTAATGGGATATATATATATAGTT